TTGGAGCTTGGACGGGGGATGCTGGATTGCGCCCCGGGAGGCCGCAGCTGCTGTGCACTCAGGCGAGCCGCTCCTCAGGGGGCAGAACCAGATGTTGCCGGGTTGGATGGGTGCAGACAGGTGGCAGGAGGGTCCTGGATGCCTGACCAACAGGTCTGGCTGGGCAGGTGCAGCTTGGAGCCCTGCCAGGCGGTGGGAGGTGTGGCAGGAAAGTTCGAGATCCCCAAGGGCTTCATGCGCCTCACTAGGGACTGAATCTTTCTTCGTAGACAGGAGAGGCCCCGGAGGGTCTGAGCAGGGGAGTGGCCCTGCTTAGAAGGTAAGTCTTGGGGCAGTGGGGTGAGCGGCCAGTTCGGTCCGGGAGGCAAGGGGTAGGGGTAGAAGCTCCCCTCCCATCCCAAGCCTGAGTGACTGCCCCACACCTGGCTGCTTCAGTATCCCCCAAGGCTGCCCTACTGCCCAGGACCGGGCCTCGCCTGACGAGCTCCTGGCCCTGGCCTGCAGTCCCCAGCCTCCTGTCTCAAAGGCTGCCTCCTAGTGGGTCTCTCCTCATTGTCTGCTTGATCCCATGTTAGCCCTTCCTCTTCTGCCCTCGGGCCCCTCGTTTGCATGGCTCTCTGGGCTTCGCTGCATCACGGGGGCCAGCCTGGCATGCATATATCTATATGCCCACTTTACAGAGCAAGGCCCACAGAGGTGAATCAGGCTGCCCCAGAGGCCAACTCCAGTGCTTGTGGGAAAGGCTGGGCCCAGGTTTCCTCAGCAGTCCGGGACCCAGGCCTCTGCTGTCTCGCCCAGCCCAGCCCAGCCCAGCCCAGCCCAGCCCCAGGGCAGCGTCTCCACAGCACCTGTGCTGCCTGCAGGAGGACTCGCCTGCTGGCAGAAACGACCACTGGCCCTTCTTTATTAAGTTGAAAACAAATACAGAGGAAAGAGGTTGACACAGAAGTTTTTTTATTTTAAGGCTACCTCTTAATTCAACTTAAAAAAATATTGTAAGCTCGAATTTTTATGACACAAAAGTATTTGTTTCAATATTTCTTTTTAAAATTTACGGTTGTATTGTGATATAATTTGACACGTAACATGCATTTGTTTTAGGTACGCATCACGATGGCTTGACATATGGGCATATTATGAAATGATCACAGGACAGGGTCAGTTAACATGTGTCACTTCACAGTTACAGCTTTTTTCTGTGTTGAGAGCTTTTAAGGCCCGCCCTCTCAGCAACTTTCAAATGCACAGCAAGGCATTAACTGGTCCCCATGCTGGGCATCACATCCCCAGGACCTTATCTTGTAACGGGGAGTATGTACTTTTTGACCCCCTTCCCCCTTTTCATGCACCCCTGCCTCCCACCGCTGCCTCTGGTAACCACCGGTCTGTTTTCTGTACCTCTGAGTTCCATTGTTTCAGCTTCATGTGTAGGTGAGGCCATACAGTGCTTTCCTTCCTGTCTGACTTCCTTCACTTAGCGGTGCTTCGAGGTCCATCTGTGTTGTCCCAAAGGGTAGAATTCCCTTCTTTTTTATGACTGAGCAGTATCCCGTTGTGTATATACACCACATTTTCTTTATGCATTCCGCATCATTGGCTGCTAAAAATAATGCAGTGACCATGGGATACAGATAACTTTTTAAAAATATTTATTAACTAGTTCTCTACAGACTCTTTTTATTTATTCATTTATTTATTTATTTATTTATTTTGAGAGGGCATCTCTCATATTTATTGATCAAATGGTTGTTAACAACAATAAAATTCAGTATAGGGGGGTCAATGCTCAATGTACAATCATTAATCCATCTCAAGCCTAATTCTCGTCAGTCTCCAATCTTCTGAAGCATAACGAACAAGTTCTTACATGGTGAACGAATTCTTACAGAGTGAATAAATTCTTACATGGTGAACAGTACAAGGGCAGTCATCACAGAAACTTTCGGTTTTGATCATGCAATATGACCTATAAACCATCAGGTCAAATATGAATATTCATTTGATTTTTGTACTTGATTTATATGTTGATCCCACATTTCTCCTATTATTATTATTATTTTTATTTTTAATAAAATGCTGAAGTGGTAGGTAGATGCAAGATAAAGGTAGAAAACATAGTTTAGTGCTGTAAGAAGGCAAATGTAGATGATCAGATGATCAGGTGTGTGCCTATGGACTAAGTATTAATCCAGGCTAGACAAGGGCAGCAAGACATCCACGGATGCAGAAGATTTCTCTCAAAGCAGGGGGGGTGAGGTTCTGAGCCTCACCTCTGTTGATCCCCAAATTCTCACCTGATGGCCCCCCTGCGACTGTGCCTGTCTTAGGTTGTTCCTCCCTTGAGGAATCTTACCCGTCTGGCTAACCAGTCATCTTCCGGGGCCATACAGGGAAATGTAAAGTTGGTAAGTGAGAGAGAAGCCACATTGTTTGAAAAGGTTAGCTTTTTACTTCTTGGCAGATTTATGCCCTGTGGCTTCTATGCCCAGCACTTGTCTCGAGGTATCTTTACCACTTGGAAGAATTATGATACTCGGTAATTTCGTTATGAGGCACGAATTCTACTTAAGGGTTGTAATTAGGAAGGAAGAAGAAAAGCTATAGAAGTAGCAGGCGGAAGAAAACATGGGAAGAGTGATTATTTCTTTGACATATCTTCTTGTAGAGTAACATAAGCATGTATAGGTTTTAAACTACTAATTAAATTGCGCGCACACATATAGCTACATAACCAAAGCAGACCTACAGACAACTTTTTAAACTAGGGTTTTGGTTTTTTGAAGACAAATACCAAGAGTGGAATTGGTAGGTCATCTGGCAGCTCCATTTTTAACTTTTTCAGGACCTACTGCTTTCCACTGTGGCTGCACCAGCTTACACTCGCCCCAGCAGTGCACGAAGGTTCCTTTTTCTCAACATCCTTGTGAGCACGTGCTGTCCTCTGTTGTGTTTTTTTTGGTATTAGTCGGCTAACAGGTGTGAGGCTGTAGCTCCGTATGTTGATTTGCATCCCTGCGGATTAATGTTGGGCAACTTCCCTGTGTCTGTTGGCCCTCTGTATGTTGTCCTTGGAAAAGCGGCTGCTTTTAAGTCAGATTGTATTTTTTTTTCTTTGCGTTCAGTTGTATTGAGTTCTTTACAACTTTTGGATATTAATACCCTTATCAGATAAACAATTCGCAGATAAACAATTCGCACAACTTCCTCCCATTCAGTAGGTCGCCTTCTCCGCCGGGCCACGGCGTGTTGGTGAGACGTCGTGCCGCTCATTTATGCTTATGGCTCTGTTGCCTTCGCTTTTGGTGTCACATCCAAAAAATCATCGCCAAGGCCGCTCTCAAGTTGTTTGCTGCCTGTTTTCTTCCAGGAGTTTTATGGCTTCAGGTCTTAGATTCAAGCCCTTAATCCATTTTGCTGTGATTCAAAGTGTTTTTAAATGAATGTTTGAGACGCCAAGTGAAGCTGCTTTTCTGTGCGCTGGGGGTTCCCCGGGCACTGCTGGGGTCGCGGTGACCCCTGCCCCAAGCCAGGGATGCAGGGCGAGAGGCCGGGTTTCTGAGTGGGCTGGGGTCCTTGTGACTGAGTCTCCCCCGCGATGAAGGGGGACGCTTGGGGACGGGGAGCAGGTACAGCTGCTCTCCTCACCCCAGATGTCGGTGCTCATTGAGAAAATGTCATCTTCCTTGGAGCTTCCAACCTTCTTGCGGTGGGTTGGCTGGATACTCACAGAAGACGGAAGACTACTAGTGATGACCACTTACTTTATTGGCTGTGTGCCGGTAAGCTTGCTGTCTGCATTGTCTCATGTGAGTGGATCCTCCCACAGTCCGATGCAGTGGCTCTGTTAATATGCCCATTTTATAGACAAGGAAGTGGAGGAATGAGTTTGGGCAGCTTACCCAGGTGACCCAGCTCGTAAGAGTGGGAGCCAGGAAGCATCTCCATCTCTGAGTCTGATGGGCTGAGCCTCCGAGCTGCTGAACGGAGCCATCGAGGGTGCCAGACCTGGAGTGCAGGGGAGCTGTGGCTCAGAGCAGAGGGTGCAGATGCTGGTCCTGGGTACCCCGCTGGCCAGCAGGGCCAGAGCAGGCAGGGGAGTCCTGGTGGACGCCATGCATGCTGGAGCCGTGGCATACCCTCACTGCCCGTCAGCCGCCTCCAGGCCTGAGGCTGGTGAAAGCGTTTTTCATTACCAGACAGTTGTCCTGGAAAGTGCCAGGCTTAGTTGCCCACAGTAGGAGCACCATGCTGGCTCGTTGGCATTCCAGAGATTTCTTGGAGCTTCCCTGCTGCCTGCTCACTGCAAGGACGTGGTTTTTCCTCTTCAGGGAAATGAGCTGGCGTTTCAGTTCTCCCGACCTTGCGGAGCTTCCGGCTCTCAATCCCATGGATCGGCTCTCCTGTGCCCTTGAGGAGCTCAGCATGCAGGGGGCAGGGGGTGATCTGTGTCCACCGACTGGCAGAGGTTTCAAAGCTGTGTGCAGTTCCAGTTCCCAGAGCTGCTGTGGCTGCACGCAGTGGCTTGCCTGGGGTACTTGACAGAGCTGGTGGTCCCAGGGGTCTGGCCACCAAGGGCTCATGCCTGTGTCTTTCTACTCATTCAGCTCTGCTGGTCATTGGTGGGCCTAGGAGCAGAGAGGGGCAGTGCTTTGGGAACCCCAAGGGCTGTCTGCCACCTCACTGCCTTTGCAGATGGTCCCTACTGTCACCCCTTCCTGCCCAGGGGTGGGGGTTCTCCCCGTAGGAGAGCTGGGTGCTGCAGCTCCAGGGGATAAGGTCCCCCCTCTCTGCCCTTCTCTCCTGTGGAAGCAGGACCTGGCAGCCCCTTGTCTAGCCTGTCAGATCACCCCAGCCTGACCAAACACATGGAAAGTTCTTTTTCCTTCTTTGGGGGAGGCATCAGGTCCTTTCTGGAGAAACTTCTGTCCCCTGCCTGTCACTGTTCACGAGTGATGTCCTTCCCAGAGGACCCATCTGTTGCTTCTCTCTCCTCTGCACAGGATCATGCGGCCCGATGACGCCAACGTGGCTGGCAACGTCCACGGGGGAACCATCCTGAAGATGATCGAGGAGGCCGGGGCCATCATCAGCACCCGGCACTGTAACAGCCAGGATGGGGTGAGCGTCTGCGGGCCCCTCAGCCAGCCGGCAGGGATCGTGGGTGGGGTCCATACCCCAGGGGCCCGGCGCCCCTCTGTGCAGCGCTGGGAAGGAGTCCAGCGGAGCCCAGGCCTGGAGCCTTACCCTCCCGCACCCCCAGTCCTGGGGGCTTCCAGTAGCTCCTGCCCGGTCAGCCCTGGTCGGGACTCCTTGCAGTGGCACTTGGTTTTGGGCTCAGCGAGGAGGGACGGGGAACTACCAGAGACTAAGCCGCCTTTCAGCCCCTCCCCCTCCATTCTGGGAGCGTTTCAGTGCTTTCCCCCCGCCCAGCCCTCACAGAGCCACACTTGTGCCGGGTAGCACCGCCCTGGGCCTGGCCCTCCCTGCCCTGCCTGACGCCTGGGTAGCTGTGGGTGCCTGTGAGGCCCAGCAGGCACTCAACACGCACCTGCGACGGTGCCAGCTCTCTGCGGCTGGGATAAGGCCGGGCCTTCTGCTTTGAGGGCTTTAGGGCAGGTGCGGGCATTCAGCCTGTCATCTCCTGCCAGTCCCCCAGGCCCGAGGGAACTATTTTCTCTGAACACCAGGGCCCAGGGAGAGAGGGAGCAGGTCTAGCACACTGCCATCTGGGGGCCAGCAGGGTCTTTGTACCTGTGGGTCACCTGCTCTGCTGAGAAGGAAGATTTCATGCTGGCCAAGGTGGGTGTGCACAGGTGCACATGCAGTGAACCAAGCCAGGGTGATTGTGTCTCAGTGGACACAGGTCATAGGGCCTTGGCACGTGGGGGTTCTGGGCTGGGCTGCACCACCCTGTGAAGGGGTCACTTGCCAGGAGTTTGGATTGGTTTGGGTGCCCTTGGAGTTCCTGGGGCTAACCTGGCTGTGTTCAGAGAGCGCCCTCTGGTGGCCATGGGGAGGATGGGGCCAGACACAGTACAGTCTGAAGTAGGCCTGTCAGGAGAGGCTGGACTTGGGGAAGGAGAAGCCCCCGGCCTGGAAAGGAGGGGAGAGGAGGGGCTTAGGGCACCAAGGAGGTGATGGGGCGATGCCCTAAGTAACCGCTACCATTTGGGGAGCGTTTAGCGTTTTATACAAGTTCTGACAAGCATTAGCTCATATAATGCTTGTGACACCCCTAAGAGGTAGAGGATATTATTTTTTTTATCCCCATTGCACCCCAGGTAGGGGGAAAGCAGGGCAGACCCCAGAGGGGAGCTGGAGGCTGGGCTGTGAGCTGAGGAGCACACAGGAGGTGCAGGCAAAGAGGTCAGCAGGGCCAGGACATCGGTGGGAGGGGCAGAGGGGACAAAAGCAGATGGGCCCGTTAGTCCACACATGGTAGTCACACAGATCTTTAGCAGGGAATATGTGTCCCTTCTGTGACCTGGTGCACTGACAGACTGGCCCGAGGGAGGAGGCCCCGGGGCTCCTACCTGTGCTGTCCCATTGGAAGCCTTTGGGCCCGGCACAGGGTGGTAGGTGGTGGCCTCATGCCTGCTCTTCCAGGTTGGAAGGCTACTTATTCTGAATCTTAAGCTTGGTTCTTTCCCAGCTTAAAATACTGAGGTATTAGAGAACCTTGTTTCCCGGGCAGTGCCTGGGAGCCTTGCCTGTCCTCATTTTGTTGCATATGATGCTGTGAGAGAAGGTTTTGCTATTTTGCAAGCAGGGTGTCCTGAGAGGCGGATTGGCTGCTGGTGACTTTGCAGTTGGGCAGGGGTACAGACAGTATAGGCCCGGACCCAGGGTGGCTCCAACTTGAGTGTGAGCCACTGTTTCCCAGGACCTAGCAGGGTGCTGGGCCCACCAGGCATTCCACCTGGATGCTGGTGTGATCCAGAAATTCCCAGGGGGCTGATGAGCATTTGTATTCAGTATGAGGCCCTCCAAGCTGTACGTGTCTCTGACTCCCCAGCCTCAGATGCATCCGTGGAAAACAGCCACAGGCCTTCTAATTATCGTCTACTCCGGAAGTGCCTCTACCACACACCCAAGGAAATGGCATTGCATTGCCCATTGGGCTCACATGTCCAGAAAATCCACAGGGGCTGAGTTCCTGAGTGGCCATGGGGCTTTGAGCCAGGGTAGCAGCTTCAGAAGCAGAGCCAAAAAAGAGCAGCATTGGGCCCTGGCTTCAAGTCCTGGCCCTGCTACTTATTAGCTCTTGACCTTGGGCAGATAATAAATGATGCCAGCCAGCTGCTGCCAGGATTCAGGGGGCAGTGCATGGAGAGGAGGGGGGTGAGTCACCCCTCTCACAGCCGTGGGCATTAGGCAAGTGAATGGAGGGTCCAGAAAGGGTCAGCTCTCACTACCATTCTTTGAGCTGCATCTGCCCCACACCCACGCAGGCCACTCTCAGCTGATGCCAGAAGAGGATGCAGCCCTGTGTGACCTCTGGAAGCCATGTAACTTCTAGGCCTCTTCTTCCTCACCTGCAAAGTGGAGTTAAGAGAACAGTTGAGAAGATTGCGTGGAAAGGGTGGTCCGGGACAAACATGGTTGCCAGTGCGTTGTAAGCTCTCCGTAGGGGGGCTGTTCCGGGCACGTGCTTCCCCTGTGAGCAGATGGCCAGTGGCAGCCACTGTTCAGATGCTGGGCATCCACCAATAGCCAGCAGACAAAAGTTCCTGCCTCGTGGGGCTCACACGCTAGTGGTGGCAGCAGGCCGAAGATGAATGAGCAAAACACAGTGTCCAGGAGTGAAATGCTGAGGAGAAGGACAGCTGCAGCTGTGACGGAGCGGCTCTCAGGGACGGCCTGGGTGGAGGTTATATTTACACAGAGGCTGGAGGGAGGTGAGGGGAGCCATGTGGTGTCTGTGGAAAGAGCGGCCCAGGCAGCGAGAAGAGCCAGTGCAAAGGCCCTGGGGCAGGAAAGCCATTGTGGCCTGAAGGAGTGTCGAGGGGAAGGCGGAGGAGATGAGGTCCTGGATCTGGGTGGTAGCGGAGCCGGTCAGCAGTGCTCAGATCTGGAACCACCCCGAAGGTGGAGCCAACAGGATTGGCTGCCTGTGTCCAGGGTGCAAGAGGACAGCAGGGTCGGTGGGGGCTGCAGGTTCTGAGCGTGACGGGAAGCAGCCCACGTCATTAACCGAGGAAGGGAGGCTGTGGGCGGAGCAGCCCAGGGGCAGGTCCAGAGTGTTTTGAGCTCATCGTGCTCAGGGGGCTAGTGAAGCCTCCAGCAGGAGCCGTCCGAGTGGCCCGGTCTGGAACCAGAGCCCCAGGGCTGTGTCATGGCATCGCAGGCACAGGCTGCGTGAGCCCACCAGGGTGTGTGGAGGGGGTGCCCCCTGCCCCTCCCAGAGCTCCAGGGAAGCCCCTCACAGCCCAGCATCAGCCCCTGGAGCTGCCTTGGGCTCACAGCCCTGCTCCTGAGCCTCAGACTTCTACATCACACCCCTGGGACCACCACGCAGAGGCATCTTCATGAACCCCCAGGCTCACTCCAGGGAAGGAGTGCGGAGGAGCAGGGGCTTGAAGCACAGGTTCAAGGCTTGTCTCTGTGGCCCAGGTGTAGGATCTGTGTCCCCATGTGGCCTCAGGCAAGCATGCAACCTCACAGCTGGAATCTGCACCCCAGTTGCCCTCCCCAGGCTGCTCCCCAACCCCCACCGCCGTCCTCTCCACCGCACCTGCCACCATGGGGCATTGCCCTGTTTACTTATTTCCCCTAATGCTGGTGCAAAGTGCAGTGCCTGGCTCCATAAACTCTGAAGATGAAGGAATGCCTATGTAGCTATAAAACAGCCCAGGTCTGCCCAAGGCTCAGACCCTAAGAGATGGGAGAAATAAGCCGCACTTTTTCCATTAGAAAGTACTAAAATACATGCATATAAGTTTCCTTATATGTGGAGGCATATCCATACCATAACTTATTTAACCACTTTCCAGTGAGGGTGCCCTGTTTAAATCCGTCTTTGGTCTTACAAGTGGCACTTGGATAATTCCTGCTCCTTCGTTCCTGCTGCTCCATGGGCACTTGCCTTTCCAGCTCTCTGCCAGTGGGTGGTGCTGTGGCCACGTGCACGCGCTTGGGTGGAAGCCTGTATTGGGCACGTTGCTGCACTGAGGGTGGGCAAGGCCATGCAGACCTGAGCTGGAAAACCAACGCTTAGCCAAGAACCTGCCCCAGAACTCCAGACCTGCGTGCTGAGAACCACATGGGAGGGGCTGAAGGTGGTCCCCTGGCTTCCCTCCAAAGAGGCGGGTCCTGCGGGGGTGCGCCAGGAATTTGCCAGGTACCATCTGAAGCCTTGTGTAGGTATGGAAGCTACACATTGGTGGATCAGGTGCCACCAGAATTTGACCTGACCGTCACCCACAAGCCTGGTATCACCAACCCATCCAAAGGGGTGCTGAGAGGGTTAACTGGGAAAGCGAAACCCAGAGCTGGCACGGGGCCCCAGGCATACTCTCACAAGTGAGCCCCTGACTCCCGCTCCCTGCTCCCCACCGTGCCCAGAGGTAGACAGGGCATCTCATACCATCCAATGTCCTAAAAAAGACCATTGGTTTCTGGTAGAAAATTGTAAAAGTGCCCAGTGCTCTGTTTGGCAACAGTGGCGCAGCCCCACTGCCCAAGCCCAGGCTGGCTTCTGTGTCACTCAGCTCAGACGCAAGATGAGGCGACTCTTGGTGTCGCTGCCCAGGCACCGAGGTCACGGCAGGCCACTGCCCTGCTGAGAAGTGCTCTGAGGACAAATACCGAACTGTCCTTTCAACCCAGGAAAAATCCCCAATATGGAAAAGGATGCCCATCATAGGGTTATTTTATAATAATAAGCAATTGGGGCCGACCCAAATATCTAACAGCAGAAGAAGATTGTGTTTTCCTTGGTCATTGGAAGTATTTTTGCCGCGGAATATTGTAAAACAGCTGTCATGGAAAGCTTTGTGGTGAAGGATGGGGGATGTCCTTCACGTGCTGATAGAGACTGAGCTCCATAGCAGAGTGGGAAGCGCCCATGGTTGCAGCCCCCCTTGTGTGCTGGGGCCCTCAGTCACTGGGACAAGTGACGAGAAGCAGGCCTGGTGCCATGTAGTCGTTAAAAAAAAAAATCCTCAATTTTGAGTCATAAGAATGGGTTGCCTGTTTGAAGGATAAATCAAGTGTAAATAAAACTAGGGATTACAAAGTTTGTCATATGTGGGCAGGTTATTTTTCTCCCGTTGGGTGAAAAAAGCAGACTGTGTAAGTGTCTTATTTAGCTTTTGCACAACTAATAAAACTAAGACTGGGAACCAAGGAGCGAACATATGCACAGTAAAACCCCTGTTCCCGGGAACGGGAAAGAGCCTGGGAAGAAGCCACCGAAATAGCCCAGCTCTCTGGAGGGGGGAGGGATTCCCCTCCTCTGCTTACTTTTCTGTGTTTCCCAAGTTTTCCATAATGATTATGTATGTCTTTTTCACTTTTCATTATGGAAGTAATGTTTTCTGTAGAAAAGTTAGGAAAAAGAAGAAAAAGCCACTTTCAGCCTGACACTGGGTCACCTTGGCCATGGCTGTGGAGTGTCCCACTGGGCATTTCTCCAGGGCTTTGCATTTGGGGATGTGAGGTGCCAGTAAACGGCACTATTTTCACAGTGGAAGAAAATAAGGTGGCTTTTAGGGAGCATCGCTGGGCAGGGCTCGCTGGACGGGGCTGACCCTGTGGTCTTTTCAGGAGCGCTGCGTGGCCGCCCTGGCCCGGGTGGAGCGCACTGACTTCCTGTCGCCCATGTGCATCGGCGAGGTGGCGCACGTCAGCGCCGAGATCACCTACACCTCCAGGCACTCCGTGGAAGTCCAGGTCAACGTGATGTCCGAAAACATCCTCACAGGTAACTCCTGCGCGTGTCTGGCCAAGCCAGCTTGGGGAAAACAGTAACAGCCAGGCGGTGGCCTCAGTGCACACACCCTGGGGGCTGGTTCCGCTCCTGGGGTGCGTGGCTGCCCTTCGTTCCCACCCCCACCTGTGAGCAGGCACTTTGTTGTCCTCGGTTGGCAGACACGACCATGGTGCGCAGCGAGCCCAAAAGCAGGCTTCAGGCTTTGGCCTTGAGTGTGTGCCCACTGCCTGTCCTTCCTTCCCGGTGGGGTGGCCTGGCAGCCAGCTCGTCCAGGGTGAGGGCATGGGAGCAGACGGGAGGGCACAAGCCACCCTCCGGCCCCATGGAGGACACTGCCCAGGCCCTTTTCCCTGCTCTCCACCCCAAAAACGAAAACCAGGCTTAGGCTGAAGCTCACTGGGTGAACCTTTGACTCTGGTTTGATCTGAATATTCTCTTCCTCAAGTGGTAACCATGGAAACCCCTTTTCATCCTCCCCCTGGGTGCTGCAGGGGAGTGTGGCTCCAGTTGGCACTTGCTGCTTTTTATAACCAGGCTGCTGCTGAGGAAGCCAGGCCCCTTTGTCCCCCCGCTGCCCACCTCCCGTCCCAGGCCCTCCTCTCGTCCCACGCACAGCAGTGTCTGCCCTCGTTCTGGAGGAAGGAACTGCTTGGCTGTGGCCGCCCAGTGAGCCTGCTTGGAGATCTCTGAGGGGCCCAGGCTTCTCCCCCTGCATGGCCCGGGAGCACCGCTATCTGTAACATTCCAGCGACCTCAGAAGGACTGGACGCAGTACAGCGAATGATTTAATAGCTGAGCAAGGGCCTGAGGTGGGGAGGCGGCCAGCAGCCTGTGCCCACTACTGCCCCGAGCCCTCCGTGGGGCAGGCGGCTGTGGCATTAAAGGAGCGTGGCTGCTGGTCTCAGATCATGGCACGGAGCGGGATGCCCGGATACTGTGTTCCCGCACCGGGGCCCCATATGGCCAGCCCCCGCTTCTGGCCGTGTTTTGGGCTTGACCCCTGCAGACAGAAGAGGGGAGATCGCTGTGCTCTCTGCTTCTCTTGGTCACTGGCTTGTGGTTTTGCAGGTCAGGGAGTCGGTGGCTTCAGGAATGGGGTGGGGCTGCTTTACAGATTTCCACTTCCACACCCCCTTTGGTCCAGGAGGAGCCCCATGACCAGGAAAGCATCTCACCATTAGCGAGTAGAGATGGGGGCCCGGGGGTGGTGGTGCGGAGGGCATCTTTGGGCTTTTGTGGTCTGGCCCGACCTCTGCACTGTGGGTCTCAAGGGATGTTCTCTGCCGTGCAGGGGCGGAGCTGCTGGCGTCATGTGGGCGCTCTGGGCTCCCTGCAGCTCACGATCAGCCCCACCACGAAGGGGGGCCCAGGCCCGGTGGTCCACAGCGCCAAGGCTGAGGAACCCTGCCCTGGATTGGGAATTTTTAAGGGAAAGAATCATTTCTTCTTCCTGGCAACTTTTGTTGACTTATGACGGACGTGGACTCAAATGTTGATGAGTGAATGAGTAAAGGATGGACAGAGGTTCTCAGGAAGGTCTGGGTTTCTCTGCTGAGGCTGGAAGCCCCCAGAGGGTTCTGTATAGTAGGACATGCTCTGATTCCCTCTCTGAAGGGCCCCACACTGTGGGGCACGAGTGGACACAGGCCCCAGGCTCTTGTCTGGAGCCCGTGTTGGCAGGAGGGCAGAGTGGTGAGGTGGCAGCCCGCCACCCTGCTGCTGAGGGTGCTCGCCACCTCCCCACTCCCCTTGGCCCTTGGCCTGGCTCCTTCCCTGCGGGATGTGCCACAGAGCCCCGACTGCCTGTGGGGGAGAGAGCTGGCCGCGAGGAGCACACTGCAGGTGTCCACCTCCTGGGACATCCCACCTGCGTTGTGGTCCCATCATCCAGGTGAGGACACGGCGTCGGGAAAAGCGAGGGCCAGGTGCCTGGTGCTGGTGCTCACCTGGTGTCCCGGGATAGGGTGCGGCCACACTTGGAGCCCTGAGGGCTGTGGTTTTCCTGCACGTCCTGGTCATCTTGCCCAGAACCTCCTGCTGGGGGCTGATGCGTCCTTTTTCATTCCGTGACTGGCAGGCCTCTCTCTTTCTCTCATTGCTGCCTCTGTGTGCCCGTGTCTCTGTGACCCTGTGTCTCTCGAGGCATTCCTGTGTTGGTGTGTCTCTCTCTTCCCACGTGTCGACTGGGGTGAGAGCCCTGTGAGGGCTGGGCTGTGGCGCCATGCCCACCATAGTTCCCCAATGCCCAGGGCAGCAGCTGGCCCAGCAGGCCCTCTGAGCTCTGGCAGGTGGGGAGACTGAGGTTGGTGGGAGGTGACACAGACAGGGTCACTTGCCTGCTTGCGTGACCCCAGGATATAGCGGTCCCCGTTCTGTGCGTGCCTGCAGGTCAGGGCTGCGTGCCTGTCAGGAGCAGCTGAGTACACACACGCAGGCAGACGACCAACAGACCTTTGCCTTTGAGATGCCTCATTCATCTCCAGCAACTGTCAAAATATTAAGTTAACTGGGAAGTGATTGCTGTGAATTGCTCCAGAAAATAGCTGGGAGCTCTTAAGATTTTAAAATAGATGTTTTTAATGCTGCAATTGTCTTTTGATGGTTTTATTAAATGATGGAGGGAGTACAATTAGCATGTTTTGCCTCATTTGCTCCATGGTGTTCATTTAGGTCTAGAGGAGGACCACTCCGGGTTTCCATGGAAACCAGCTTGTCAGGCGGGCTCCCGCTGAGTCAAACAGGAAATCTTTATTCCCAAAAGCAGGTTGTCAGATTCATTCCCAGTCAAAGTGCACTGAAAATATTCTCACATCGTTTGCCTGTGGTTCCCCAGCACAGAGAGCCTGTTGTAGTGCCGGGGCCCAGCACCGGGTGTTCTGGCTGGGCGTTAGGAGCAGAGCTGGGGCATCCATGGGCTTGCCCTCCTGATTGACCCCCGAGTCAGCGTGGCTCTTGGGGCTGTAATTAAGGGAAACTGACATCCCAGGAACTCCTGGGGAAGGTGGGTCAGAGGAATTGGTAGGAAGCTCGCTCCAGGAGGGGCTGGGGAGGGTTGCCGGGGCTACTCCCCCCCCTTGCCCACCTCCTCTGTCGTTTTCTGCAGTTTTACTGTTCTCCTCTACACTGGGAATATTCCATGTTGAAGCAACTCCTTTTTTTTATAATTTTTTATTAAGGTATCATTGATATACACTCTTATGAAGGTTTCACCAGGAAAACAGTGTTGTTACTACATTCACCCTTATTACTGAGTCCCCCCCACACCCCATTGCAGTCACTATCCATCAGTGTAGTAAGATGCCAGAGTCCCTATTTGTCTTCTCTGAGCTACACTGTCTTCCCCATGACCCCCCCACACCATGTGCACCAATCATGATACCCCACAATCTCTTTCTCCCTCCCTTCCCACCTGCCCTCCCCTACCCCTCCCCTTTGGTAACCACTAGTCCCTTCTTGGAGTCTGTAAGTCTGCTGCTATTTTGTTCCTTCAGTTTTGTGAAGCAACTCCTTTTTAAAGGCATCCTTGCAAATACTTTACTGAAATTACCGGGACCCAGGTGGCCCAGGTCTATATCAGAATGGCAGCCAAGTTGCTGTGTGACCCCAAGTAAGCCCCTTGACCTCTCTGGGTATCAGACTCCTATACAAGTGAGAGGTGTGCACCAAGTGACCTCTGGGCTTTTTTGGCCCATGGTTCTTAGCCCTGCTGTACTGCTACCCATTTTTCAGCCCTCCATCTGGAAGCTTCTGGATTGGAGCTCTGAGTCAGATGACAGTAAGTCCAAGGGTCTGGCGTGATCCTTCCCACCTCGATGGACAGGCCTTGCTGGGCTGCCGGGTGCCACCCTGCCCCTCTGCCATGGGGGCTCTGCCTGCATGTCTCCCCGGGCTCCCCATTCATGTGCTGCTGACCTTCTGGGCCCCTGCCTGGCCTGGCGGGAGCTCTTCTGTAAGAATTTAACAGGCAGACATTCCCTTTCTGAGCATTGGACATCAAGTTCTTCAGCAAAGTGTGTTTCGAGTTTGAAATTCAGTGTCAGCTGGGATCTAGTGGAAAAGCAAGTGGCCTGGTGTGGCCCCAACTTGGCCCTCCTTTTTTCTGGGAGGGGGCCAAGGGAGGGGGCCACTCCCTGGGCCAGTCTGCCCTTCCCCAAAGCCCTTCCGTCTGCCTGGGGCTCCTCAGAGGCCTCTGCCCTGTGTCAGTAACCTTACTTCCCTCTGTCACGACACCCCGGGTGCCCTAGTATAGAGTCATGATCTCCAGGTGGAGCCCCCTGTGGCAGAAAGTGCTGGAAACCACAGGCCCGGGACCCCCTAGGCTTAAGCCATGTGATCTAAAGTCTCTCCAGCAGCCTCTGGGGATGCTCCCCAGGCAGGGGCGTCCACAGCCTCTCCCAGGCTCAGTGCCCAGGCCTGCACCTCGAGTCTAAAGGCCTTGCGGGTTGGGAGTTGGGGGCCAGAGGTGGTGAGGTTTCCACCCCGCCTGCTGTGTGCCCAGGCACCCTGCTCTCTCCCCAGGCCATCACTCATGTGGTTTTCTCTGAAGGTACCAAGAAGCTGACCAATAAGGCCACCCTGTGGTATGTGCCCCTGTCGCTGAAGAACGTGGACAAGGTCCTGGAGGTGCCTCCTGTTGTGGTAAGGAGACACCTTCTCTCTGGGGAAGATGGCAGAGGCCTGGTCACTCAGGGCGTCCCAGGGGAGTGGCAGCGGGGCTGGGGGCCTCGGTCTGGGATCTCCAGTGCGGGTTGAATGCATGCCAGGAATGTGAGTGTAGGCTGCCCAGACCCCATGGATGCCCCTCCCAGAGGACCCTTTATCATGTCCCTGACTGGAGGAGAGGCAGCGGGTGGGACCAAGCTTGGTCACCAGGCCTGCCGAGAGCCAGACCTGCAGGCTGCCCAGCCCAGGCCAGCTGCTCCGCATCTCAGCCCCTGAGGAAATGGGTGCCGGGACATCTCTGTTTCCGCCTCCGCTCTCCCTGACCCCGTGGCCCCTGCTGGCTCCCACCTCCTTCCTTGAGTCCCCTCGCTTCTATTCGGCTGTGGGCAGAAGCGTCTCTGTGTGAAGGGAGTTCATCACATTAGTTCCCAGGGGCCCCGTTGCGGGCGGGCTTGGTGGGCAGGTGTTTGGAGGGGGGACATTTGGCCGGCAGAGGGATTTATTCCTTCCCTGAGATCACTCCCCACCCCCTCCTGTAACTTCCGCATCCCTGGGTGTTCCTAGGACACCTGTGAACGCTCCTTGTGGAGGCCTGCTGCTCCCTGCAGCTATGAGGGAAAAAGCAGTTCTTAGAGGAAGGCCCCCTGGGGCTCTGGCAGCACCTGCAGGGGCATGAACTTCCCGTAGCTGAGATACACATAGACCACATTTTAAATAATGGGACTGGGGAGCAAGCTCACAGCCTGGGGCTGGTGCCTGTGCTCTGCTTAGAGGTTCCCAGAGAAGCTGGTGCCCCAGGCGCAGACGGCCCCTGTGGGAGACCAGCCTGCCGGCCCTCCCGTAACCCTGGGCCCCCAGGACAGTGAGGGGCTTGCTCCTGGTGCCCTTGCAGATGGAGGACTGCAGGGCATGCTCCCTGTGCCAGCTGGGTGTTGGACAGCCCCTGTCTGGGCCTGGGGTTGGTCTGGATCAACGTGGGTGGCTGCTGGGCTCCCACACATGCCACCTGTCTGTGTTTCCTGGGGCTGTGGTGACAAAGTCCCACAGTGGGGACTGCAAACAGCAGACTCTCATTCTGTCATAGTCTGGAGGCCACAAGTCCAGGATCAAGTGTAGCAGGGTCAGGCTCCCTCAGAAATTCCTAGGGGAGGATCCTTCCTGCCTCTTCCAGCTTCTGGGGGCTGCCAGCACTCCTTGGCTTGCGGCTTACTCCACCCCAAGCTTTGCTCTGTCTTCCCGTGTGTGTGTACGTGTGTGCATGTGTCTGTGTCTCCATCTCCTCCTCCCGTGGATGCAAGTCATTGGGTTGAAGGGCCATCCTGCCCCAGTAACCATCTTAACTACACCTACACAGACTCCACTTCCAGAGAAGGTCGCATGTGCAGGTTTGTCCCATCTGGAGCAGGTGGACAGGGATTTTGATGGGACTCTGGTTAATCTCATGCTGCTCCTCAGCACCCCACCCCAATTCTCTCTGGATCTGCTCTCCCCTCCCTGCTGCTCTTTGAGATGCAGATGGATTGAGATTGCCTCATTTTCCCTTGACACTGACAGGGAGGGAGTGGTGCGGGGCATCTAAGACCCAAGAAGCAGGAGTGAGGCTGTGGCCCAGGGACGCTTCCCCTTAGTAACAAGTGCGCCTACCCCAACTTCCATCTTTCCCACAAACCCCTTGGTGTTAAATTAGCCCATTACATGTTAGATACTCAGGCACAACTATTTAACTGATTTAACTTTCAGATGCTGCAACATTTAGAAATCTTTGGCCCAGAGCCACTGGGTCTTTCACCAGCAGGGGAGGGCAGGGTGTCCCCACTCCCCGCAGGGACAGGGCAGCTCTTCCCCCACATCCTGAAGAAGCCCCATAGCTTTCCCACCCTCTGTGTAGCTGGGTTTGATGAGACAGAGATACCAACCTCACAGAGGGTGTGTTGTGTTGTAACCACTCACTGGGCGGGAGCAGAGAAAGCTCCAGATGGGAAGCCGCTGGCTTCCAGCTGCAGCAGGTGCTGGTAAGTGAGCTCCCCCATGCCCCACACGTGCGAGGCCCATGTAGAAGCCTTCAGCTGATTTGATACAGGTCTGCTCCTTGTACAGGTGCAGCCCAGTGGGCGAGGCAGTCCTGAGAAGCTCAGGCGCCCTCCGGCCCCGGGGAGTGTCACGCTCACCTGCTGGTGTGGCCTGGCCACCAGGCTTCCTCACTTCCTACCAGTGCTCCACCCATTGCCTTGTGCCAATCTCTACAGGGAGCCATCATTCACTTAAGAATACATGCATCTCCGTCTCTGTGTGTCCCACATGCCTCTCACGCACATGTACGTATTACATGTATGTTTTACACCTTTAACACAAGTGTAGGTATCACCCACATTTGTATGGACACCACGCACAGAGTACACCCCTCACGCCGCCCTGCATGTGTGGATGTGCGCATGTGTGGATGGGCTACTGCCGTGCGCATCTCCCTGAAGAAGCCCAACTGCAGCGTTATTTAGTTTGGGACCTTCCTCCTCCAGGAACAGGGATGCCAGTGTCCCTGTGATGTGAGAAAGAGGCCCCAGCAGGGTTGGAGGGCAGCCGTAGCCCTGGAACCGCTGGGTGGCCCCTGGAGAAAGGACATGGGTTTTTTCAGTGTCCGAACATAGACTTGAGTTGAGTCTTGCCCAGACTCTTGATTGAGCATTTGAGCTGAGCTGGCATCTGCCTAAAATCAGCAGGGTTTGATGAGCCTTTCGGGGTGTGAGTGGGGTACCAGGCCAGGCCATCGTTAAACTGTCCCAGTGATTTTTGTCCCCAGACTTAAAGCGAGCTGGGAAGCACTTGTGAGGAGGCTGCATTCTGTCTGCATGGCTTGTGTCTGGACCAGGGCTTCCATCAGCCCCTGTGTGAACGCAGCGGCCTGACAAGGGTGCTGAACACCACGAAGATTTATGAGACCATAACGGCTAACTTTTTAAAAAAAATCTCTTTAGAAGGCATATCTTGAGGACACTTGTCAGCCACAAGTTTTACTTGACAGGCATGGCACAGACCGTACCTGTACAGTCACCACCTTGGATGGCAGAACATCTAGAAGTAGTTTATTTATGGAGGAAAAGGTTAAATTACCCACTACAGCTGGAACAGTGCATAATGTTTCCCTTGCACAAACCGCTCGGCGCCTTCCTCCTTCCCCTGGGTGATGGGCTCTCCAGCCCGCGATCATGGTGATGAAGCTGCAGGGTCGTATTCAGACCCTGGGCGACTTTGGAGCAGAGCCAGAGCAGGAAAATCAGACGTTCACAACTAGCTTTGGAAAGAAGTGGAATTGCCACCAGAAGTGAATCCACTTAAACACGCGGGGCCTGGGGGTTGAGGGGGCAGGAGGGTCCCTGAGCCCGGGGTTTCTCCGTGGGCTCTCCCGAAAAAGCTGGTAGAGCGAACGGAGGGGCAGAAGTCGGGGAGCTACCCAAAAAGTGAATGGCCAGGCAGGACCTGCCGGGTGGGCCGTGGCTGTGGGGGCTGGAAGGGCACGGGCACCTGGGGGAAGCGAGCAGTCGGAGCGCTCGCGGGCCCGGCGTGGCTCTCCCTAAGGGGTCCCATGAGGGGTGGGGTGTTCCCTATAGTGGCCCAGAGGACCATGAAGGTGGCTGTGGGGTCAAGGAAAAAAAGAACCGTTGCTGTCACATCAGAAACCTGGCACTGGCCCCATGTGCCTAAAGAACTCTGGAGCCCAGTTTTTGAGCCAAGGTTTATATTTGCATTTGTTTTTGACCTCTTGGGTCCATACCCCTGTGACACATGAGGAGAGCCTCACTGGGCCGGCTGTGCCTCTGGCTGGGGGTCAGCCGAGCGAGGGTGTCGGGGCACTTGGAGGCCCCGCCCACCCCTTGCCTTTGGTGGGAGAGCGGGCCCAGCCCTCCTGGGGCTGCCTGGATTCCGTGGTTCTGTGTTCCGGAGTGAATCCTAGGAAGGAAGGAAGCAGGTGTGAAATGATACTGGGCTGAGATTGCCAGCATGATGGTATGATGACCGTTTTAGTAGTGAGAACTTGGAAGCAGGTAAATGCCTGTGTACCAGACGGGTCATGTAAATCATGTTCGGTGATATGTTGATACAGTGGGAGAAAGAAATACTGTTACTTTTAATCGTAACACAGCCTGATAGAACTTTCCATATGTATGTGGGCATAAAAAGGAAGGGAACAGAGCAAACATTTGACCCAGGGTCTCTCTGGGGTGGGACTACATGAGATTTTCACCACCCTCCGTGTTTTTGTTATTTATATGAAATATGTATTAGAAAAGGGTAGGTTCAGTTATAAAAAGGTGGGCCGCACAAGGAGAGGCCGCCCTGTGCGCGCCTAGAGGCTCAGCTGTGCCTGGCCAGGGAGGGCGCTGGGCGGAGAGCGTATGGCCGCCGGCCTGACCCTGGCTGTGTCCCCCGCAGTACTCCCGGCAGGGGCAGGAGGAGGAGGGCCGCAAGCGGTACGAGGCCCAGAAACTGGAGCGCATGGAGACCAGATGGAGGAACGGGGACATTGTCCAGCCCATCCTGAAACCAGGTAAAAGCCAGGGGGTGCGTGGGGGTCTGACATTCACTGGCACTTGTGGAACTCAGTGTGTTTGTGAACGTCGTCCCCTAGGGGACAAGTGCCCGCACCTCCTGCACTGTCTCCTGGGACCAGGCCTTCTGGGTGCCCGGGGGTACTGTCCCCTTTGCCCTCTGCCATATGAACCCTTCCTAGTAACTCAGCCAACATAATGGGACGGCTCAGCAGGGCCCTGGAGGGCCCCACACATGTGAAGGGCTCGCCATCCAGGCAGAGGGTGCACGCTGGGGCAGAGGTCCTCCTGGCTGTGGTGCAGGGACCCCAGTCTGGGGTTCAGGGGCACACGTTGGTACAGGGGGTGCTCTCCGGGTCATGTAGAATTTGCTGGTGTGGCAGTTTTGATGAGGTTTCCAGCTCACAAAAGCCAGACAAAATGGCAGCAGCTTTCCTGCCTTGCTCTTCACAGGACGTGGCTCAGCCGTGGCCTTGGTGAACAGGTTCCGCCCGCTGGGCTGGAAGCTCTGCAGGGTGCACGGGCTTCCTCTCGGGCTGCGTCCTTCCAGGCATTTGTCCTGCCTTCAAGCCCATGGTGGTCCAGCTTTGGCCAAAGTCCATCCAAAACCCTAGGCAGGTCATGGGATGTTTTCCCTCCAGACAGGACCTCAGAGCCCTTAACCAGAACTTCCCTGGTGCTCAAACGATTCAGGACAGGGTCTCTGGGTGACTGTCCCCATCAGGACATGGTGAGCCCTCAGGAGGGTGGGTCTCCCTGGTGACGTGCATCACCCCTCTACACACACAGTGGCCACATTTCTCAGCGTGAGGGTGTACTGCGAGCCTGTCTGCCCTCTGTGATGGCCCAGGCCCCTGTGGCGAGGGTCTGTGTTCCGTGCCTGGCTCCACAGGATGACACCTCCGGGCCCTGGATGCGGTAGTGTTTGAGTTCCTGATTTGGTTCTTGTAGCTATCTGGGGACCTGCCCCACGCCCCCCTGCTCAGTGCCATCAGTGTTGTCTGCTGGTTGGCTTTAGGTAGTATCTTTGTGCATCAGTTCCTGGAGGGGCCCAGGGGGTGGCTTGGATGGCAAAGTCCCTAGAATGTAGCCTGTTGGGGGGCAATTCCGCTCTGCTGCCACCCACCAGCCGCTGATGCCATGACAGGAATTGTGGAAGATGGCTGCTCAAGGGCAGAGCCCAGGCGGGAAGTGGGATTTCACGTGGCAGCCACACAGTGAGCACAGAAGGGCTGTGAGGGAGCAGGCCAGCGGCCAGAACCCCCCGGGATGGGACGATTCTGGTGCCGATGAAACTGCCCTCCCGAGCTGCAGCCACGTGCAGTCCATGTGCAGTCCCCGTGCAGCCGAGGGCCCTCCAGCCGGAAGCATCTCAAGTGCTCAAGCAGATGAGGGCACTTCCTTCCGCAGAGGCCGCTCACAGCCCTCAGACCCAAGCTCGGAACCTGCATCTTAAATCACTGTGGGGCTCGAGAACAAATAAAGAACATCTTGAGTTTGCAAGTAGCTACTTAAGGCCCAGTCCATCTGAACTCCAGTTTCCCTGCTCTGTGGCCCTTTGGCAACCACTCACTTTGAAACCCCGTGTTGACGAGCATCTGGGAGATGACCGCTGATGCTTACTTAGGAGCCCCCGGTGCTGGCTCCAGGTCGGGCCACCCTCATGTCACCAGCTTGGGGCTGCTGCACAGGCTTTCGGTCTGCAGCCAAATATAGAACGGACTGTTCTTCATCTGCAGCGTGTCCCAGTCATGCCGTGGCCCAGTGGGTGGGCTTACTCACCAGTGGGGTCTTGCAGGGCAGGATGGGCCACCCTTTCTGAGCACCTGTCCAGGCAGAAACAGGAGGGTCATCCTTGTCAGAAGGCTTTGGCATGGTAGAAACACAGCCGCGGGGTCTGCTCAGGAACCCCCTATGCTGTGGGTGTTGCCCATGTCTGTCAGAAGAGGTGGTGCTGGGCATCCAGATTGGTAAAGAAGAAATGAAACTGTCACTGTTTGCAAATGACATGATATTGTACATAAAAATCCCTAAAAAATGCACCCCAAAAGTACTAGAACTAAGAGCTGAATTCAGCAAAGTTGCAGGATACAAAATTAATACACAGAAATGTGTTGCATTCCTACACACTAACAATGAACTAGCAGAAAGAGAAATCAGGAAAACAATTCCATTCACAGTTGCATCAAAAAGAATAAAATACCTAGGAATAAACCTAACCAAGGACAAGAAAGACCTATACCCTGAAAACTACAAGACACTCTTGAGAGAAATTAAAGAAGACATCAATAAATGGAAATACATCCCGTGCTCATGGATAGGAAGAATTAATACTGTCAAAATGGCCATCCTGCCTGAAGCAATCTACAGATTCGATGCAATCCCTATCAAGATACCAATGGCATTTTTCAACAAATGAGAGCAAATAGTTCTAAAATTCATATGGAACCACAAAAGACCCCAAATAGCCAAAGCAATCCTGAGAAGGAAGAATAAAGCAGCGGGGATTACGCTCCCCAACTTCAAGCTCTACTACAAAGCCACAGTAATCACGACAATTTGGTACTGGCACAAGAACAGACCCATAGATCACTGGAACAGAATATAGAGCCCAGATATAAACCCAAGCATATATGGTCAATTAATATACGATAAAGGAGCCATGGACATACAATGGGGAAATGACAACCTCTTCAACTACTGGCATTAGCAAAACTGGACAGCTGCATGCAAGAGAATGAAACTGGATCACTGTCTAACCCCATACACAAAAGTAAACTTGAAATGAATCAAAGACCTGAGTGTAAGTCATGAAATCATAAATCTCTTAGAAGGAAACATAGGCAAAACTCTCTTGAATATAAACATGAGCAATCTTTTTCTTAACATATCTACTCGGGCAAGAGAAACAAAAGCAAAAATGAACAAATGGGACTACATTAAAGTAAAAACTTCTCTATAGCAAAGGACACCATCAGCAGAACAAAAAGGCACCCTACAGTATGGGAGAATATATTTGTAAATGACATATCTGACAAGGGGTTGACATCCAAAATATATAAAGAACTCACATGCCTTAACACCCAAAGCAAATAACCCAATTAAAAAATGGGTGGGGGATATGAACAGACAGTTCTCCAAAGAAGAAATTCAGAAGACCAACAGGCACATGAAAAGATGCTTTACATCATTAATTATCAGGGAAATGAAAATTAAAATCACAATGAGATACCACCTCACACCAGTTAGGATGGCCAGCCTCGAAAAGACTAAGAACAACAAATGCTGGCAAGGATGTGGAGAAAGGGGAACCCTCCTACACTGCTGGTGGGAATGTAAATTAGCTCAACCATTATGGAAAGCAGTATGGAGGTTCCTCAAAAAACTAAAAATAGAAATACCATTTGACCCAGGAATTCCACTCCTAGGAATTTACCCAAAAGAAACAAGATCTCAGATTCAAAAAGACAGATGCACCCCTATGTTTATCGCAGCACTGTTTACAATAGCCAAGAAATGGAAGCAACCTAAGTGTCCATCAGTAGATGAATGGATAAAGATGATGTGGTACATACACACAATGGAATACTGTTCAGCCATAAGAAAGAAACAAATCCTACCATTTGCAACAACATGGATGGAGCTACGGGGTATTATGCTCAGTGAAATAAGCCAGGCGGAGAAAGACAAGTACCAAATGATTTCACTCATTCGTGAAGTATAACAATGAAGCAAAACTGAAGGAACAGAACAACAGCAGACTCACAGACTCCAAGAAGGAACTAGCAGTTACCAAAGGGAAGGGGGTGGTGTAGGGTGGGTGGAGAGGGAGGGAGAAGGGGATTGAGGGGCATTATGATCAGCACACATAATGTGTGAGGGGGTCACAGGGAAGGCAGTGTAGCACAGAGAAGACACGTAGTGACTTTGGCATCTTACTACGCTGATGGACAGTGACTTCCATGGAGTATGGGGGAGATTTAGTAATATGGATAATTGTAGTAACCACAATGTTTTTCATGTGAAACCTTCGTAACAGTATATATCAGTGGTACCTTAATATAAACGAACAAATAAATAAATAAATAAAGTCAGTCAGTTGGTCAGTCAGTCTTTGCGACAGGCTGCAAAAAAAAAAAGAAGAGGTGGTGCCAAGCTGTGGTACCCGACTCCTGGAGATGGGGCCTTGCTGCTCGTTTTGGTGGGATGCAGTCCCTTGCAGCTTTGTCAGCCGAAGCTCTGGGGAGGATGCAGGCACCCAGCGCTGTGAGAGTCGCCAGGCAGGAGGGAGCAGCTGGCACGCCGCTCTGGGCAGGCCTCCCTGGGTCTGCTTGGGGTCTGAGGGCTGGCAGGAGTCCCTGGTTGAGGTCCAGAGAGGCCGAGTCTGCAGCATCTCCGTCGGTTCCGACTCTCTACCTACCATTGTGTTCAATAAAGTGTAACGTTAAACCTTTGAGAGGTTGTGTAATCAATTGCTCAGCACCTGTTTACAAAATTGGGAATGAAAGTCAGATGGAAGATATTCTAACAGAGGGTCACATGCAACCCTGGGGGCTTATAGCCACAGGCGGCTGCTCATGGGTTGGGGCAGGGCCTTGCTGGGGACGCTGGTGTCCCCAGGGAGTAATGTCATGCCCACTGACAGAGTGTGGCTTATTAATCTTCGAAAGCCTTCCCCTTCACCAACGCAGCAGAGAGACAGGATTTCCTTAGAGAAATCCCGAGTCCATGGTGGTCGATGCCTCCTGTGGCCATGGTGGCCTTGCAGACGTCAGGGTAGTGTCAGCCTCTCCAGACGTTAAGCCGAGGGCATCCCTGTGTCCCGTGGTCTAATCTCTCTGCTTTGGAATTCCAGAGCCAAGCACCGTCAGCTACAGCCAGTCCAGCTTGATCCACCTGGTGGGGCCCTCCGACTGTACCCTGCATGGCTTTGTGCACGGAGGTAAGAATCAATGTCTCTCGCCATCCCTTCCCGTTTACTGGCTCCTTCTCAGTTCCCCAGGAAGCCATGCTACCGCCTGACCCAGTTTAGGCTCTTGTGTTTCATAAAGTATAAATTTAAACTTTTAAGAGGTTGCGTAACAAGTTACTGAAATACTGTCGGCGCCTGTTTTTAAATTGGAAATGAAAGTCAGGTGGATGACTAGCTTAATGGAGGGTCACGTGCAGGCCTGAGCGTGTGTAGCCAACAAGGGGTGTAGTGGCTGTCTGGGGGTCAGGGCAGCGCCTTTCAGGGTATAATGATGCCACCAGGGAGTAACAGTGTGACCCACCAACAAAGAGTGCCTAATTAGAAATGTTTTTGCCTCTGATATTTGTATTTATTTCTTCCTTTGGTCAGATTCTACCTCAGCGCAGGCCTTGAAATTCCCAGCTTGGGAAACATGGCTGAACACAAGGAGACGTAGCTCCGGGTTCATAGAGGGACACTATAATACTATGTAATTGTTTTTTGTGATTTAGGGAAAATATAAGTGTACAGGCACTTGCACAATGCTATTCATTTGCACTCTTATTTCAACTTGCCCAGAACACAAAACTCTCCTTTCTTTTCCACTCAGAAATCTCCTATTCGTTCTTCAAAACCCAGCTTAAATGGTACTGCTCCCTGCAGGGTTACACTGATAATTTTACCAGGGGAGGCCTCAGGAGTCCACCTTATTCTTTATGTTGGCTCCAGGGCCTCACACAGAGTCAAAGAGGCACTTTTGCATAAGTTTGTTCCATGAATGAAAGGTGCAAATCACCTTGAGAAGCTTGGGATAATGAATGGTCCCTGGGCCTGTCATAATCATAGAGAGGACCCTGATTTGTGATGTATTTTTAAAGTTGTTTTTTTTTTTTTAACTAACACTCTTTGTGTGTTTCTTTTTTTAATTTTGTGATTGTTTTCCTCTTTCAACTAAGCCCTGGCTGCAGTGCTTTCCGTCTGATTAATTTAGGTCCTACCCAGGGGAAGCTCTCTTATCTAACAGACAGCCATGAACATTGTGGCGATCAGAGTGTCTTTGTACCCTGACACCAGCCATGAGCTTGTGCAGCGTGACCCCATAAGCTTTCTTGTCTCTTCTTCACCAACCCTTGTTGCCCTCCTTGAAGTGGGGGGACAGCCCTGTCTTCTCAGCCTAACCATCCGAAGGCCAGGATTCTATAGCTGCCAAGAATTGTCTTTGAGCCGCATAGAGCTCCGTTCTACCCGGACTCTGTGAAACTGTGCCAGAATTTTTGCTCGTTTTGTCCACATGCTGTAAGTTGACTACATCATGGCACCTCCACCATCGCCATCTCCTTAATGAGAAGTCCACACTCTTAAGCACAGTGTGGTGTCTTCATGTGCTGAAGGGCATCAGTGAGGCGCAGGGAGGGAGCGAGTCATGGAAATCTAGGGCTCGTGGCGAGCCAGGCTCATCCACCTAAGCCTGAGTAATGGAGCCTCAGAAGCTTCACTGGATACAGGCACATTTTTTAAAGAAGTGTTTACAGTGGCTTTATAAGATTTAATGCCTATTTGAGTAGGGATTCTGTGCCCACAATTTTTTTAAAAATGCCTAGTAATTTTACCAAACCTAATCATCTCTTATGGTGCCTAGTAACACTCTAGGAGCAAATGAACAAAATAAACACATGCTGAAAACAACTGAAAACTATATTACTGTGTTTTCCTGTATGTACAGAGGATACTCTCGGTAAGCATGGGGTCGCCAGTCATTTTAATCACAGTCCCTCTACACTGTGATTCAGCAGCTACCAATCTCGGGAGGAAGTAGTGAGCCGGGCTGAGATGGGTGCTGATTTGGCTTTTATTCAGTAATTCTGTGCCAAGAATGAACACTACTCCCCCATCCCATTTTCTGTGATTTTCACACATTGGACAGTCTTTATTGCGAAGCCTGCCTCCAACCCTGCCTTGTAAAAAACACACAACACAGCTAATGGCAATGCAGAACCGGAGAAGGATGGGTCTGGCGTGGTTGGAAATCCCAGGTGGGATCCAGGACTCCAGCCAGACGCTGGGTCTTCCTGCTTTCCTGGGTGCAGAACGTGCTCGGTAAACCCACGGGAAATGCTGGCTGCGGTTCTGAGTTTAAGAGCTTCTGTGCAGAAGCGCTTGCCTGGCTTTTGGCTTCGGTCTTCCCTGAGCTCTGAGTGAATAATACACGGTCCTCCCTATCTTCACTTGAAAGCACTGGGGTCTCAGCCCAAAAAAGGCTGAAAGTTTCCCGTCTGCCCTCCCGCCCCTTGCTGCTCCCCCATGTTGGTTGTGCAGCCTGAAGGGGTGGCCTGGCAGATGTCTGTGGGGGGGTTTAGGGTCATGCAACAGTCATGACCTTTATAAACTCACCTGGACATACCCGTCCTTGACAGAAACACTCAGTACGACTAGGAATTAATGGCATTTCCTGAACACTATACGGTGCAGGTACCTGAGCCCTAAGGTGAGCATCTTACTCAAAGCGGGAGCACCAAGGACCTTCTCCTAAGGTCGGGAATAAAGCAGGAGGCCCTCTCTCACTGCCAGGTAACATTGTTTTGGAGATTTTTGCCACTGCACAGAATTACTGAATAAGGCGCAGGGATTGCTTGAGAAGAAAGAAGTAAAGCTGTCTCTCTGCCGACAGCACAGGAACATTTCTGGGCAACCCAAGAGGTTCTGGGGTGAAAACAACTCAGATAATTAAATATTTCAGTAAGGTAGCAGCATGTGAAATGGATAATCCCAAAAGCTCACCTGAAACAGGAAAATTACTTTTCATTGTTTTTGTTTGCAGATATGTTTGTTTTCTAAGGTGTTTTTTGTGTCGTTTTTACTATATCGTGAAGCATCAGTTTTTAGTAATTTGGTAAAAAAGTGTGGTTGGTTTGGGGCCTGTTCATTTGATTCATCTTCTTAAAGGGCTTGTTCTTTCTGTTGGTTCCTGAGATGGTCTTCGCTCCAGTTTCTTTCTTCTGGGACATCCTGGCCTGTCCCTCCATCAGCTGTTTTCATGTGGGTTTCCCAGGCCAAGAAGGGGTGTCACTGCTCCTGACCAGCCAGATGGTGACAGGGCACATGCTCCCCAGATCCAGGAACACTGTGGACAGACCTCTGCTGAGGGAGGCTCCCTGGGGGTTGGCCCAGGGCCGCTTGGGGTGGACCCCAGAGGAGTCTTCCATTTGAATTCTTCACTTCCAGCTTTTAGCTGCCTTAGATTTTTCTTGGTCATTATGAAGCTTTTTAATTCATTATTTTAAACCAAAGTGTTCTTTGGAAATGTCCAAACTGACTTCTGACAAAGCACAGCTACCCTGTCCTCCTTCCCTACTGCATTTGGCTTCCAGTGGCTGCCCCAGTACCTCTGGCGCGTGCTCAGCGCGTCTCCTGGCCGGTCAGTCCCGGATGCTGTGTAAACACATGCGGGGCAGGGCCAGGTAGAGTGCTAGGATGTACACACGGGGCTCTGTTACCATGCTAGCCCCGTGCCTCTCATGCCGTTTGCCTGCCGGATGGTTCAGTGCATGTTCCCCGGCTGCGTCTGCCTTCTGCCTCCCTCCAAACTGCTCCTGGATGTCCTTTGCCTCTCACCTGAGTCAGGACTTTGATTTTTCTCTGACAGTTTGGGGTAAGACATCCTCCGGTGGCTTGCTATGAAAGGTAATATATTAACCAGGTTTTATTTATTTATTAATCAGTTGTGGTGATGAGGCCCCCAGACAGTGGCTTCAGCATGAGCCATGATTGTGTTGTCCTGGGTAACGATGCAGTCAGGAGAGGCCATTCCGTGATGTCAGGGGCCCGGGCTCCTTCTGCGGTCCTGCCATCCCCAGGGGCCACCCGATGGCATGTCACCGCATTGGTGTTCCAGCCCAAAAGGCGTGGCAGCACACTCAGGGAACTTGTGCACTCTCCCTCTTGGCCTGACGTGGGGATACGGGCCACTCTGCTGGTGGACAGGCAGGTGGGGGTTGCTCTAGAGGAAAGGGATTGCGGGTGTTGGAGGGAATTCTCTGCCGGGGGTGAGAGGGGAGTTTTCTAGACTTTGCGTGGGTAAAGCGTTTCCTAGCTGAGCATGGTTTCCCCCAGGCCGAGGTTTCTGTTCGATCCAGGCACTGTGGGTCATGTCCTCCTCTGCCTGTCCCTCTAACCCTATCTTCACTGCTCACTCTAGCCTCCAACCAGAGCCCATTGCTGACCTCCCAGCCAGCCAACTTCTTGTTTCTTTAAGTGCTTTTCTGAAGAGCAGGTTGTGTGGTTTGTAGCATCTGGGCCTTTCTCGCTGGTGATTTAAGACCCGCGCCCACGCCGCTGTTCAGTGCTGCAGTTGGCCAGCCCTCCCTCTAGAGCCGCTGCTTCAGATTGCTGGGCCCCATCCCTGCGTGCTGAGGCCTGGGAGGGGCCCGAGAACCTGCATTTCCACCAAGCGCCCCTGTGACTCTGGTGCTGCTGGGCTGGGGACACACTGAGGACTCCTGCTCCCCAGAGGCGTTCCTGCCGCGTGTGTCTCAGACCTGATTTCTGCTGCTCTGGGCCCAGCCCTCCACGCTGTCTCAGCAGACGGTCTTACCTCTCGTATTACTGAGAAATTGGAGTTTCGCCCTTGGCGAGCCTTCTGAGACTTCTTGCTCCATCTCAGAGTTCCTTCCTCTGCAGCTGTCTGTCCGTCCCTCCCTCCTCTTTTGTAGAGCTGGCCCTGCTTTGGGCTGCAGGGCCTCTTGCCCGCTTCTGGGTTCTTTCCCCACTGGCCGGCTCATGCTGTGCCTCCAGCTAATGGTGCTCTCCTCTGGCCCAAGGCGAGGCCGTGGTGTTGGTCTCCACCTTCCCGAGAGGCTGTGCATCGGTGGGCCATCCTTGCTGCCCACTAGGATCACTGGGCCTCTCGAGAATACAGATGCCCAGGGACCCTGGACCAGCTGGACCAGATGCCGTGGGAGGCCCTGGTGTCCATGGTCTCTCAAGCTGCCCAC